TTCTCCATCTGATCACCAGTAATGAAAAACAAGAATGACGATTTATGCTCTGCATTACATGTCAGACTAATTTCATTTACCATCATAGTTTTAGTTTTTCTGACTAACTACTTCGTAACTTGAGTTAAGTATGGATTAACAGGCTTTCTGACACTGTGAACTGAATGAACTATTACTCATAATGAAAAGTTTAACAGAGGTGGTATTTACCACTGTACAATGCAACTTCTCCTAGTTAAATCAGTGCATTTAAGGACATCTTCCTAACTGTATATTAATATGATAATATATGACAGTACCTCAGCCACATGTAGTGGTGTAGAGTGGCAGTTGTCCAGTCTGACTCCATGGAAATATTTGGCTGTGGTTTCAGTGTATTCCTGCATGTGGGCCCACAGGTACGGGCAGTCTTCAGGGCCCTTGCCATAGCGGAGTTTGACACTGTCACCCCAGCATACCAGCTCCCGACGCACGTACACATTGGAGCCTATATGTAGCACACACACAGATCAATACTGATACAGTGCAGTGTTTAACATGTAGCCTGAAAATAGCTTATACTCGATTGACATTGTCAGGTCCCTGTTAATGGACACATATATTCAAATGCATTTCATCCCATGTAGAAAGCGATGTGTAATGGATGTAACATAAAATGCCTTAGTTACAGTATATTTATCAGGGTTTCTGCAGGTTTCAACAGGTTACATTTAAGACCCTTTAAAGACCTTTTACAGACTATTATGAATGCAATTCAAGACCTTTTTCAAGTCCATACGGGCAACAAAAGTACAAAGAATCTGAAGGAAAATCCCAGAATTACAAAGTAAATAAATGTATTCACATTCAACTGAACTTTTCTGACTTCCCATTAAGCTCTCATGCCTTTATAACTTCCTAGCCAAATATTAATATTTATTTATTATTATTTTGACCAGGCTTCAACCGAGCACTCAATGTGCTGTTCTCAAACAAGTACTGGAGCTGGAACTGAACTTGCACATATTAGATAAAAGTAACATTAAAATAAAAAATCTTTACTTATTACTTTTTTTGATGGAAGCAAACACCACATCGCCATATACTGCCTAGCTGTATGTTCTTTGGTAAACTGCAGCGTGATATAACCTGCATAGTTTGATTTTTCCCAAAAACAAGTGACACCTTATAAGTACTTTATAACTTTATAATGTAATGTTTACTTCATAATTCAATAAAGGCATTTTAAGGCCTAAAATTCAGATTATTGGATTTTAAACTTTCTAAGGCCCCGCAGAAACTCTTGTACCTGACTGTTTTCTAGAAGTTAAACATATTTACCTGGTTCAGCGAAGTTGCGCAGTGGATCGTCACCCATCACCCAACCGTTGTGAGCCAGGAAGTGACACGTCTTGTCTGGCTGGTCCAGCAGCTGCAGCTCCTGCTCCAGAGTCATGTCTTGGTATGGGAAGGTGAAATACCTGAAACAGACAGATGAAAAGACCAACATTCAGCCTTGCTTCGCAGATGGCATTATCATGAACCTTATACTCCTCTTAGCTGTATAGGATCTAGTTTAATATTTATACCTGGCATTACTATGTGTAAATGGTGTCAGACTGATAGAACAGTGCTTTCACTCATAAATGCAGATTACCAAGTCAGTCTTACTTCTGGGTTTTATTCATAAAGTTTCAACTACTGCCTCCTGTTTCAGTAAGAAGGCCGATTTAGAAATGATACAGTGTGTGCTACTAAGAAATGAGTTAAGGGTTACAGGGTTCACACTAAAACCATATGGGAAGGATATCCTTATGCTAAAACTTCACAATGCTCACAGGTTTAAGTTACTGCCCAGTACACATCTAAAATATTTTTGCCTTGCTGGTAGCGGTTAGAATGTGGGAAATGTCACCTCAGCACAATTTTTTCAGCAGACTATCTTTTTTTTTAAACTCCATGAGCAACTGAGCCAAAATATCACCTTTGCACACAAAATAGCTGGGTACATTTTCATGAATCAGCTTCACACCTTCATGCTCTATTCAAGCTGCCATTCATTTCTTTTTCAATGTTTAGATTTTAAGTGTTCTTTCGTGCAGCATCACCCTTATGACAAACTACTGGTACAGCTCTAAGCATAAGAAAAATGTGTGAAAGAAGTGTCTCTTCCATCTTTCCATCCCTCCACTTCTCTTCTTCCACATCTTGCTCTCTCCTTTAACCCATATCTTTAAATTCCTTACCTGGTAACCAGAGGGTTCTTCTGGTTAACGGGACCAAGTTTGGGGCCATGGTCTGCCAGACGCTCATACACTACATTTCCCACAATGCAGTTGGCAGCCTTAAGGAGAGAAAAGAAGAACAGAATGAGCACTGACTGATTTGTGTCTTTGGGAACCCTTGGTATGTCCACCATTCCACACTTTATGCTAATACTATGTAAAATATACTGCGTCCTAATGTTGACTATGCACTGTTTTTAGTATACATAAAATACATGATGAACCTGTGGTATAAATGACATGAGACCTTCTGACATTTGCAGTATGTATGTCAGCATCTCATCCCTGACTGCACTAAGAGGTGTCAGGTTTGGCTCCAGCTGGTTCCCATGTGCACTCACACATGACTGCTCAGACATGTAGGATCTTCCTTTAGTGCTCATATTATGCTGTTGAACTGCATTCTAAATATTTATATGCCGCCATCAGCAGAAATTCTGCCTGATGCTACTTGACACTCAGGGCCTCTTGCAAAAAGTGGTGCACAGCAAAGTGTGCAGATAGCAAATGGTGTGTTGGTCTTAAAATGAGGTGTGGCCAGGTGCATTGTTGGCACAGCAGAAAGTAATTGTTTCATTGACCAACAAAAACCTGGTCTAAACTCAATGGCGCAGAATATTTATTTATTATTATTCAGATAGTAAGATGTGCCTACACATGAGGGTTCGTGACACAGATTGTGTTATGTGTTGTGTTTTAGATGCAATACTATAGATAAGTAAAAGAAGCAAAATACATGAAAGTTGGTTTGTGATGTTGGAGAGCACTGTGTGCCTCTAATAACTAAAGCCACAACTGTGGCGTTTTGTGCACTCTCTAGTTTTCATTACGGACCAATCTCTGTGCTGAAAGGTGGAGAAAAGCCTGAAAGACTGGAGACAGCTGCAGAAACTGCTCCTCTCACTGTAAAAATAACTTTACTGATCTTATAATACATCCATGACCTGTATACATCTTCTTATGTGCAGCACCATAATTCTCCCCTTCACCTGCCACTCCAGGTTCAGTTCAGCTCTGCTGCATTAAAATGTCAGTTTAATACCGTACAAAAAAGAAAATCTAGTTTAAATTTGACCGAAAATCACTCAGATGTCAATTCTTACAGGAATAAAATTATCACATGACCTCTGTGTTTGGTGAAATATGGTAGGTAATTTTCAGGGGAATCTTTACTTCACACATTATGGACATGACAGATTCGCATGATGGCAGAGTAGTACGATTAAGATCAATTCCTACACATTACTACAGGTCCCCAGATAATACCGGTACTAGTCCCGTGCGAATAGTCTCTAGTCTCCAAATGATCTGAGAGGAGATGACACAAGTCTTTTACAGCCTGGCAGGATAAGGATGAGCAGCTCTTTTTCCTCAGCAGAAAACTGTTCACTTCTCCAATTTGCCAAAACCCGCTTCTTAAATAGCAATGTTTCCCTTCAAAGGGGAGATGGCATTCTGATTTAATGGTTTAATTCGTGTTATGCCCAAAGCACACCAATGGTTAATCAAGAGACTAAATACAATCAAAGCAAAAGTGCAGTTGGACATGCCGTATGTGCACTCTTGAAATGTGCTATTGATGGTTTAAAGAGGGCCCTTAAGCTCACCTGCTCCTGATGCTGGTGCATGATGTGGTACTGTTCATCATTCAGCTCGTTCAGCTTCTGTCTCAGCCAACCACAGCACTCCTCGATGTGCTGCAGGGAGGAGCTTTAGAGAGAGAGGCAGCATTAAGCAAAAAATACCACTAGTCTACATTCTGCACAGTGCTACACACATACACACCAATCAGCTTTAACATCATGAGCACTGACTGGTGAAGTGAATAACAGATTATCTGGTTATCATACCACCTGTCAGTGAGTGGGATATATTAGGCAGCAA